CAGTCCAAAAGCACAGTGAAATTCTCTTAAAGCTGTTCTTTCTTGACTGCTATCAAGCTCATAGAGCCGACCATCATAAAGCCGATTCACTACCAGCCACAAAGAACCGGTATTGAACACCTCCTTACCAAAAATCAACAGAACAAAATTTTGTCTATGAAAAAGAAATTTCACAACTTTCACAACAGAAATTTTTTAATGAAAAATCTCAGCAAAATACCAACAATAACATCAGCACATGAAAGAGCAGATTAAAATCTCAAGACTTTGATCCGGGTAATCAAGTTTTTTAGATAGTTACCAGGACAGACCGTACAGACTAAAATACTGACACACCAGAGATAATGACAAGTTCGGCTCTAAGTAATGCAAAAAAATGCAGAAAAACTTATTCTTCCGACTTTCGAAGAAAATGACGGAATATTTGTTTTATGGCTTATTTTTTTCCAGACAAATTTCGACTTCTTAGCTAGCAAATTTCGATGGATCTTTTTTATATCATCTGAAGGGTATTGTTGTTTCAAGCTAAAGTTCAAAAAGGTATTTCACCTGTGATCATTTTTCGTAAAGTTATAGGGTTTTAAATATTGCCATCTTTGTTTATTTGGGACGATTAGCGCGCCATATATTTCGCGTTTTTAATGATTAAGAGGAAATTTAAGCAGTAATTAGGCAACTGCTTTTTCACGCACGAAGGAATTAATTCACTATCAGAGATCCGGCAGGCCCGAGGATAGTGAACTAATTTCCCGAATGCGTGAATAGCGGTTTTCAAAATGCTTATGTCAACAAAAATAGTGTGTTCATGCTTGTTTTTCACAAGTTAAAACAGTTGGTTTCTCACTTTAAAACTTGCTTTCAGACTACGTTTACAGCTCTCAAGATTACGTTTACAAGATTTCAACTTCCAAACCTCCAAAATTTAACAAAATTGGATTTGAATTTAATTGTTTTTGTTCCAATTTTCGAAGAAAGTGCAGAATGTTTATGCTTGGTGTTTTTTTTTAATTCAGTCAATTTTAACTTCTTAACGAAGCGTTTTCGACGAATTTTTTTTGCGCTATTTTGCGGTCTTATAACACGCGTAAGCGGCAAAATAAAGCGTACCAAACAAAATTTAGACCAACCACTTAATCCTATTAACACAATACGAGATGAGAAACACACCGTCTGTATTTAACATAACGTGGGGGGAGGATAAAATCGAAAAAAAAATGGAGTAAAATTTTTTCTTCTTCCCAATTATTTCGCCAATTATTCAACCAAAAAAAAACTTTTTTATTAGGCTTAAAACCAGTCGGAACGTTCAGGGCTTCAGAGCAGTCTTGAAAAGAGTGAAAAATCATCTCGCAAAAACTATTATTCCGCACGAAAAATAATTGTCGTAAAGGTAAAAACTTGGTTGAAAAAATTGAGCTGACTAGAAAACACTCCGCTCACTGTGTAATCAGATCACCAGACATTTTGCACTAATTCAGCGATGCAATCTCTAAGATTGTTCAAGATATCAACTGAGTTTTTTTGTGAGTTGGAGCAATGAGTGCATTTTTCTGAACGAATTTGTTTATATCAAATTAGATCAAAACTTTAGATCATTTTAACTACGCTAGAACATCAAATTAATTCCGAACAGTTCAATGGATAGATATAATCAATTCCCTTTCTTGACTAGAATGATTTTAATGGTAGACAGTTGAAAAAAAGGTCAATGAACGCAGAAAAACCTAGAAAATTGACTGACTTGTTTTTTGAAAACACTTCAAACTGCAAATTTCAAAATGAAAAAAGTACTGTCCTGAATCGATTTAGGCGGAGGAAACACAAATTTTTTACAACATAATTTAGAATAGAATTGTAATACCACCTACATAACAGATGTAACCATGGAAACTTAATTAAAACGTAAATTTAACTAATTTTGTAGCCAATCAAAATGCAATTTGTATGAAAAACCTCAAAATACTACATTTTATGAGTAAGTATGAAAAACATATTTTATACTGAATTATATTCCAGAACTAATTTGTACTCGCGGAGAACATTATGCGGTAGGTCACTCAGGGGGATTGTACGGTTAATTCCCCCTTATTTCAAGAACATTTCATATTAGACGTTTAAAAAAACAAATGGATAAACCATAGACAGCAGTTAGCTGGAAAAATGAAAAAAGAGTCAATGAGCGCAAAGATACAAAAAAAAGACTTGCTTTTAAAAAACTTTGAAATTTCAATACAAAAAATAGAAGGCTTTAAATCTCCTTTTTTTCAGGAAAAATTTTTGATAGGGGATTTTCTGATTCGACCAACTTGAAATGAGCCCATTTTGGGAAAACTAGTTCAAACGGAAACATTTTCCTTTCGCTCCCAATTCTAAAAAGTGAGTAACATTTTCGAAATAATAAGTCGATCACAATTTTCGTGATTTTTACACATTAGCTGCTCAATAGTGAAGTTTGCCCTCCTTTTGACAATTTGAATAAAATTGAACTGAACTTAGAAGTAAAACGAAAGCCAAACCTCGAAAAATAAAAGTTGAGAATGAACAAATTTTCAGACTTTTTTTATAAAAAAAACAAAGAAATCACGACCTATATAAGAGTTTCGTTTTTGTTCACTGACTATTAATAGATACAATTTTATTCAGCTGGTACATCCGACAATTGAAATCCATTTTCGAAATTTGAAGTCTATCACGTTTTTTGTGACTCTTACACGTTTGCTGTTCGAGTGGAATTTCCTTTTCTTTCAACAACCTTAAATCACTTTTTGAAATTAGGAGTCGTTCACTAGATTTCGCGCGTGCTCCATTTTCACTATTGGAAAGGGTATTTTAACTTCTTTTCAGCAGTAGGGTGAAATGAACTTCAAAAACCAAAAAAAAGGAAAAAATCAACTCGACCTTCTGAAGCGTCTTCACTGCATTCATTGACTAATAAAAGTTTTGAATTAACCTAATTGTGAAACAAAACATGCTCATTCACAAAATACGAAGAGGCGAAGTAGAGCTTTGCACTAATTGAGATATAAGAATTATAAAAATAACATAAAAATCGAAAAATGAAAAATGTTGGAAAGAAAACTAGGTCAAATAAAATTCTCAATGCGATTCTTTCGCTTGAACCCTTCATCTCAGATTTGATAGGACATTTTTTAAATAAAGTCGAAAAGTTTCTAAAAACCGGCAAACCTACAAAAACGTGCCTTTCCGAAACCAACAATTTTTTTGCAAGTAGATCGTGGCCGCTTAACCAAAAATCAATCTTAAAACAGGGTTTCTCGGTTGAACACTAAAGCTAATAATCGGCCAGGTAGTTAACGAGTAAAAAATTAAAATTTTTTTAAAAGAGGTCAAAGTTTTAAGAAATTGACATTTGTGAAAGCCATAACGTTCTTCTAAAAAACTGCGAGTTGGCGCCGATGCTTGTACGCTTTCAACAACCTGCTGTTTCAATTAAATCCTTGATATCAGAATTGGGAGGGTCGTTTTGAAGAATAATCAAATAGCTACAACACAGAGACCAAGCTTCGCTTCGCAATCACTATTGAGAACGACAAAAAGCAGCTCTAAAATGCAGTAAGGAAAATTAGAAAAAGCTAAAATGCGGCTATTTCTGAGATTCGAACCTGCGACTTAGAGATAAGCATTCTGACACACCAACAACGGACTGATTTTTACGAGGGCCATAATTTTTTTGGGTAAAAAATTTGACCGTAGTCGATTAAGCAGGGAGCTTCTCATAACCCGTTTTTTCGATTGAACCCAAAATCTCACATATGGAACGAAGGGTAGTTCTCGAAAAAACAGTCCGAAAGTTTCAAAAGACGGTCAAAAAAATAAACATTCTATCAGGGCCATTGCTCTTTGCGTTAAAAATTGTGCTTCCCCGGGGAGCTTCTCACAGCTGGTTCTATCCATTGAACATAAAATTTCAGGGAAGGGTGGTTTCTGAGAAAACAAAAAACAAATATATGGGTCAAATATTTCCTCTCAGACTTTCGAAGACTGCAGAAGTAGGGTAAACTAAAAAAAAAAGGTTGAGACTATGCAGGCACGCAGTGAGTAGGCGTCCTTTCTAAGATTTTCTTGTGAAAATGGATAAAGTAACGAAAGTACTACATTTCAATTTTGACCGAAAATTTTCAATTTCATACATATTGAAAAAAGCAAGGCCCTGCCGGGACTCCGATCCCAGACCTTAGGATGAAAGAGCAACCGCGTTACCTCCAAGCCAAGTTGGTAGGAAACTGAAAGTTATTTAGGTTCAATTTTAAAGAAAGTGCCTTTTCTAGTCAGAAAAGTTGTTTACGGGAAAAAAATTCTAGTTCCCGATTACAAGGGACTTGCTCCGGCAAATGTTACTAAAATGGAGAACTGATTGTTATTTATTCTTCCGACTATTGATGAACGTAACAAAGTTAACATACTCGAGATTGTTATTTATTTGTTTCAGACCAATTTTTAATACATACCATTTAACGGGACTTTTTGTGCCCTCTGAAAAGAATCAATGACATGAGCTCAAAACTAAACATTTTTAAACTTGCATGTTCGCAAAACTTCCTATGTTTATTATTCACAAGTGGCTTATATATTGATTCAACTCCGGTTCAAATCCAAAATCATTCCAAATTGAACTGATGCACACTAATTGGTCAAATTATTACGGCAGTAGCTACAAAATTTTCAGAAAACTATGGTGTTGCAAAACATTCCGAGATTCGACTATTGCAAGCAGTCGTCTTTGCTTTCGCGTGGGAGTATTATGCAAAAACCTTCAAATTTTTTTTAAAAAGAAAATATTCTAATTCAAAACAATTATTTAGATAAATAGGCACCAAGAATATGCACAAATGACATTTTAAAAGAAACTTACATTGCTTCTAAGCCTGGTAACTCAAAAGCATGTCGTTTTTCAACAAACATTGTCAAATTTGCCACATTTCTTGACTGTCTACTTTTAATTGTTAAAAAAATCACTTGAAAATTATAAATTAGATTGATATAATTGAAATATAGCATAGGATAATTTGAATTGATGCTAAATCCTAATTATTAAATATAACACCACATTTTCAAAAACAATTTCAACCGACTTAATCAATAACTGTTGTGCATTTTATAAGGCATTTTTTCCATTATTTTAATTTTATTCAGTTCATTGTTACATATTCAGATCAAGCTTTAATAAATCAACTTCAAACTCAGTTCAAAAATATTCTCGTCTCTTTGTTTCCGTAGTTCCCATTAGACCGCTTTTTTCACATCATTCTTCTATTTTTTTTTAACTTAGTCAATGAAGAATCGAAAATCAAAAATTCATGCGATTGATTAGCTATGCATATGCCTCATTATATGCATGCAGTTCCCATCCTAGATCTTCATCAGTGTACTGGCTTCGAATATGTAACACTCCATTGATTATTTTTGATTTGATTGCGGTTTAAGTTGTTCTCGTTATTATTTTTTGGCATCGTGGTTGATATTTGTGTTGTAACCTCTCTCGCCCACCCTCATATCGCCCATCAGCTTACATTACCAGGAGAGTGGGCTCTGATCGAGGGTCTCAGCACTATGGAAGAGGGGGAGGTGTTGCCCCCTGGTGTGCTGGGTGGTTTGAGCAGTCCCCCTTTTTCGGTGTCAGCGGTGCTCCTCCTAGGCACTACCTTCACTCGTCTGAACTCACTTGTGTCAACTATGTCCTACAACACAGATACTATAGTTAAAATAATCAAGAGTTTACAAAATTGAACAATAAAAGATACTTATTATTTTTTGCGTTTTCAAACTCCAGGAAGCTTTTATGATTGTCAGTAATCTGAGAAAACTGATCGACTGTGAGGAAACTGAATCAATAGGCAGGGACGGATTTAAATGGTCCCCCCTTTGTACTATTTTGAGGTACCCATTTTTGATGACGTACCCTAAAAACTTTCTAAAGGTGCCTTTGGCGCCAATATATACTAAATTTTTTTGGTCAACATTTTTTTTAAAAGTGCATAAGAACGCCTTTTTTATGACCTGTTTTTTCAAAGATTTGCCTGCGGCGCAGAAATTTGGGCCAAAATTGAGTCTTTTTATTGCGTTGAGAGAGCTCGGAAAATCTATATGGTCGACCTAAAAAAAGCTCGACAAAATTTTCGAAAATCCCCCCTCGAGAAAATCCTAGATCCGCCTCTGTCAACAGATAAAACTTAATTCTGAAAATTTTTACGTTTATATTCCACTTTTAAACAGTTTAAGCGTGTTTTTTGTGCCATTTACGTTGTTAGCTAAATTCAAGTGAACGTCAAAAAATGAGAAGTAACAAAAATGAATCTAAACAAAACTTTTACACAGAGGCGTAGCTGCACTTCGCAAACACTAGCAAGAAAACGACAAATTATAAATAAGCAAAACGACAGAAAAAATAGAAATAAGCCTCAAATTAGTAAATTTTTGCGACACGACGCATTCTAATTAGCGCCCTTGAGATTAACAGTCTCACGCTCTTCCCACTCGGCCACGGACGCTTAACGATAGAAACACTAGCAAAAATAAAGCAAAGATGCTATGAAATATTTAATGCTACAGATAGTGATTATGGCAGAGACGCCACCGAATTGATCTCTTTTATTTGCGAGTTAGATTGAAAAAATAAGTAGATTCATACTCATACACTATTCTCGCAAGCTCCCGAGTGTAAAAAATAAATCAAAAAAGGCAAAAACTAAGGAAGGAAAAGGTTTAAATAAGCCTCGAAAAAAAATTTTGTTACATGCTAGAATTTAACTGTATTCGCAAAACAACATTAGGCTCATTAGCTAGCTTGTGTTAAAAAAAACTTAACTCCTATCTAAGTATTGTATTGAAGTTGTCAGAATCCATGAACACAAGCCCAAACAGATAAATTAGTTAATTTATATCCGGATGTTTAAGTTTTTTTTTAACTTTGCACGCTAACTCAGGTAGCATAATTAGTAGTCGGAAGTGGTCGATTGATATATCATATTAAAGAAATTGCTGTCGTGATTCGGATCCTTTTAAGAAACTTACGAAACAAATTCCTGAGTTAAGAGAACTATCTGTGAGTTTTTGTCTTATCTCGAGCGAGCAGGCCTAAGGCACGGAAAGATTAGAGTTTAAATTTGTTCTTGACATCAAAAAAATCCTAAAAAACTTGGGAAAATTTTCTGCCGAACGTTTGAAAACAAAGGTTTTTTTTGTTTTTCGATTTAATTATTTGATAAAAACTTTTGTCAAATATGCGTGTTTTACTCTTACAATCGAATGTACCTATTTTCTATGCTTTCAATCGGACCCGCTCATAGCTAAATGAACGAAAAATATAACAAAAAGTACAAAAAAGATAGCCAACAGCAGGGGCGGATCTAGAATTTTCTCGAGCGAGGGTGGGGGCTGATTTTAAAAAGTTTCAAAAACTTAGTCAACCTTTTTTTAGGCCGACCAAATTAATTTTCCAGCTCACCTAAAAACCTTGTTTTGGCCAATTTTTTGCGCTGCAGGAAAAAAAATTTGAAAAAACAGGCCAAAAGGCGTTTTTAAGCACATTTTGGAAAATTTTGACAAAAAATCGCGTTTTTTTGGCGCGCGCTTCCCCAAAGTTATTCAATTTAGGCGCCTTAAAAAGTATTAGGGTCCGTCAGCCAAAAATGGATATCTCAAAACAGTACAAAGGGGGATCCTTTGGGTCGTCCGCCCCCGTTAAACCAGTCCTGCCCAACAGACAGTTGGAAAAGAGTCAATGAACGCAAGCAAACAGAAAAAAAAATAATGACTGTTTCATTGAAAAAAATATCAACTTGCAAAATTTAATGGAAAAAAAGATCCCTTTCAACCTCTTTGAATTTTTAAAACAATTCATGGTTGACACTTTTTTGATGAAATTAACCCAGGATTTTCATAATGGATCAAAACATAATTTTAATAACTGGATCAATAGGTATTTTTTTATTTCCGCTGGGAAGTCTGAAAATTATATTCCACTTTCGAAACTAGTAGTAGATCAAGTAATTTTTTGACCTTTTACCGTTTTGCTGTTCGATAGTTGAGTTTGCCTTTCTTTAACAAAGGCAATGGACTGAACTTAATATCTAAACCGCGAAAAAATTGAAATTGAGCCGAAACAAATTTTAGGATTTTCCCTGAAAAAAAAACGAAAAAAACATAGCCAATCGAAGATTGAATAAGAGTAATGTACGCAAGTAAACATTTTTAAAAAGCTTTCGAATTTCAAAGAAAAAAATAGATGAAAAAATAAATTCCACTTTCGAAACTAGAAATTGTTCACGTTTTTTAATGCCATTTCCACGTTCGTATTTGGAGAATGCTTTTTACGTCACTTTCAGCAGATGAAATTCAATTGAACTCAAAAAGTGCATATACACCGAAGTGCATTCATGATGCCCGCCACATTGCAGCTTCTGCCGTTCAACAATTTTCTTTGGAAAAATCAGGTCGAAGTCTTATCAGTCCCCATAATCACATACATTAACGAATGAGGTTGTCATAAGCAACTTAAAAAGGAACATTTTACTTCGGTCATTAATTCTGAAAACAGCGACAACACTGAACCTGGTTTAATTAACTACAGTACTTAAAAATTAGTTCGGGAAGTAGTTAATTATTCCTCTTGTGCAGAACTGTCTGATGAAGTATTCAGTGCTTATATATTCTGGCTGATTTATATTGTTGTTTACTATTTAGGTACCAGAATCTAGAAGATACTGGCGTTTTATTCAGCTGTAATAGTTTAACCCCAATAAGAAACCAGCAGAAGGACTGCAGGCTAAACAATAGGGTACATCTAATGGTTTTGAAAGTACGCTTTACAATATCAAACTTAGCCGAGCAGCATTCACGGACTAAAAATGAGAACTCACAAGTGGGGTGGTGATGTCGCTGTCGTCTCTGATTACCACTTCGGGCAGTGCAATGTCATCTCCAGGCTTCCTCGCAGTCACCTCTATGTTGATAGGACTAAACAACAGAACAGATCCACATACATTCCAATAATCATTTGTACCATGTTTCAAGAGCTTATATTACTTCTTAGTAGTCAATGGAAACAAACATAGCCAACAGATAGCTGGAAAAAGTAACTGAACGCGAAAAAAAAACAGAAAAAAATACGGACTTAATTTTTTGAAAAAAAATCACTTTTCGAGCTTCACAGAAAAAACATATGACCTTAATTTCAAGATTTATTTATAATTGACACTTTTTTGATAAATTACCCAAATTTAAAGAAAAAACTGGATCAATAGATAATTTTATTCCGCTGGAAAATCTAAAAATTGAAATCCAAAAAAAAACTAATTGAATTTCAAAAGAAATCAAAGTCAAACCACGAATATAACTAAATGAACCATCAAGACTTATGTAAGTCTTCACTAAGTTCAAGCTGATTTTGGATTTCTGAGGAGTCAGTTGGAACGATCATGCATCAAAACAGTTCAAGGACAAAAAGCAGCATAGCTCCCCGATAATTAGCCCGGTTTTCGAATATGGAGATAAGTAACCCATTATTGATGTACTTTACTTAAGGGTGAATTGAGTACTTAGACAAAAATGGATTAGTATTGAAAGATGACTCACAGATCTAGATCGAGAGATCCCCTGGAGTTGGTTCCTGTCATGCCCCACTGAGCACTGGAAGGCACCCAATATAGGAACTTGCTCTTCTTCCGATTGCGCAACAGACTAGCCTAACAACAAGTCAACCCGTCCAGAGAAAAAACATACGTTTTTTTAAAGATTAAAAAAGGCGAAGTCGAAAATGCCCCAAGAAAAACATCGAATGTCTATCAATACTTCATACGTTCTTCTCGCACTTCGAGTATACAACTCGAGAAAGAAAATTACCAGCATTAAACAAAAGCATTTAACAAAATCTGCGCTCTGCGAATAGTTAACTAAGCCGAAAAAATTCGTGTAGACGCCCGTTGAGTGAAAAATCTTGAAATATGCGAAAATCGACGTTTTCAAAGTTTTGCATACTCCCAGTTCACACGTGAATGACAATTACAATAGCCTTTCTAATGACGCAATTTGAAGCAGATATAAGACTAGCCGAATCCATTTAAGCCGATTAAATATTTCCAGTAGAAAAAAAATACGACTAAGTTGATTTAAGTTTAGCCGAAACCTTTTAACCCGATTAGTTTAAGCAAAATAAAAATATATATAAAAACTCGCAGTTGGTTTACTCCCAACCTAACCACAAAATTCAAAGGAAGGAAATGCAAAACGCAGACACGGTTAAAATATACTAGCGAGTATAACACACCTCCGGTGCTTCGAATTATTATTAACTCATCAAAAACCACATATATTGGATATAAGATCTGCATCCTTTCAGTGTACTCTTGCAGCGCCAAATTACAGGGTTGGTAATTTCAAATTTTGTAATGTCTTTTTTTATATCTAAGTTCTTTAAAAAACTTCAAAATGAATTAAGAAATTTCACATCTCGGAATATAATTGCAATTGAACAGTCGCATTTAGACGCATGATTTGCTTGCAACTCCTGAGAGTACACTTACAGTACCCAACTTGGGAATTTCAAACGTTGAAAAATTTCAAACTTAAATTTTCTTAAAATATTTTCAAGAAAAACGGCAAACAACAAAACGTCATGTCTCAAAAACTACAAAGATTTGAGCAGTCAATTTTGGGGGCAAGATTTGCAGCCCCTGAGAGTACTCTAACAACACCCAGCTTCATGGATGAGAATTTTAAATTCAAGAAAAAAACGTAATTTAAGTTTTCTAAAATTTTTTGAAAAATCACAAGCCACGTCATATCTTGATATTCGCAAGTCCTGGGAAAAACCTGACAGAGCCTCACTATAGAAATAGGAATTTCAACTTTTGTTGAAATTTTTTATACCTAAAATCTTTACACAATTTATAAGATAATACATAACACACGTAGTATCTTGGAAAACAAGAGAATTTGAGGAGGCGCATTGCTAGATTTCCAATTAGGAACACCTGAGAGTACCCTTACAGACCCAACCACAAGGTAAGTCATTTAAGTCTGAAAATTAAAAAGAACACGTCATATCTCATAAAACACGCCATATCTCAAAAACTTCAAGGATTTGAGAAGTCATATTTAGAGAACAGATTTTCAATTCTTGAAAGTACACTGGGAATACCCAAATACAGGGTTGGGAATTCCAAACTTTGTAAATTAATTTGTAATTTGAGTTTTCTGAAAATTTTCGAAAAATCAGAAAAAAAAACGTCATACCTCGAAAACTACAAGGATTTGAGCAGTCATACTTAGAGGAAAAACTCGCAACTCCTGGAAGTACCCTGACAGAACCTCATTTTTGAGATGGAAAATTCAATTTTGTGAAACTTTATATATGTAAGTTCTTTGAACAACTTGAAAAAACACTTATTAAACGTCACATCTCAAAAACTAAGAGCATTTGAGCAGTCGCATTTGGACGCAAGATTTGCCATTTGGAATTCCGCAGAGTAACCTCACAGTACCCAACTGTAAGTTTGTGAATTTTTTAAAAGCAAATTTTTCTGAAAAATTGAAAAGAAATCATAAAACACGTCCTATCTCGAAAACTACCAGGATTTGGGCAGTCATATTTAGAGGCAAGATTCGCAACCCTTGTGATATTCTGACAGAACCAAACTACAGAGTTGAGAATTTCGAGTGTTTCAAATTATTTTGTAATTTGAGTTTTCTGAAATTTTTTGAAAAAATCACAAAAATCGTCTCATCTCGTCACTAAAAGCATTTGGGCATTTATCATAGGAGGCCAATTTCGCAACCCCTGAGGGAACCCTGAAAGCATCCCACTTTATAGCAGCTTATCTTAAACTCGGTGAGATAAACACTGGATTCAAACTGAAAAATCTTTAAAAAAATCTTAATCATTGCAATATACGACATAGCTTGAATGTGAAAAATGCTTTCGCTGAACATGAAAAAATAATGCGCTGAAAAAACTCAAACATGTAGAGACAGTGAAGCCCGTATTTAAATATTTAATAAAACTAGAAAATATGTGTGAAATATCCTCACGCATTTTGAACGCTTCCTACACATTTGTCACAGAAAAGTTGGTTGTTGGGAAAAACTATCACTCCCGATTACACGACTTTCTCAGGCAAGTGTAAAAAATGATAAATGAAAAGTATCATTTTCACGTTGTAGTCGCAAAATCCATGCACTATTTACCTTTGCCAAAGCAGAAAAAAAATAACGTTCCCAAAGCTCCGCAAATACTAGCGAGAACGACAAAAAGCAGCTCTAGAAAGTGCAAGAAAAATAGAAGCCTCGAATTAGTAAGAATTCGGCTAGGTCTAGGATTCGTTCTGCAACCAACTGCAATTTAGAGATTGTGTCTAGCGCCCTAAATACTCAGCCACGCACGCTTAACCATCGACAAACACGCAAAAGTGGAACCAAATACAATGACAAAATATTTGAAAAAACAGTTTGGATTGTAACGAGCAGAAGGCAACCTCACTTACTTTGCATAGAACAAATTGGAAACCATAAAAACACATCATATATAAATTATGCATTTCAAAAAAATGCAGATAGAGAAAACTTCTGAAATCGAGTTTTTATTATTGTCATGTTGTTAAAACAAACAGCTTTTTCGGTTAATTTGATTAATTTAAAATGCATCAACTGTGTTAATTTATTAGTATTCGAATGTCAAAGAACAAGCTATCAAAAAGCTGTAAAGGTGCCCCAAAAATGACAAGAAAAAACCTTCAAAAATAATTTTACATGATTGAAATTAAAATTAAACAATATGAACACATCGTAAACAAACTAAATTAAGCGATAATTGTTTGTGATAGCTGATTTTGTGATTTTGCGTGGAAACAACTAAAAAAGAAACAACTAAAACCACTGAATACAAAGTTCCACCCATTTTTCAAATGGTTGGAACAAAAACAACTCAATTCGATATACGATCACCTACCAATTAAACTACAGAGAGACCAATAGGAACATATCTTGTGCAATTCGTCTCAGGTTGAACTCACTTAGAAGTAAATCAAGATATTGATCAAAAACACATTTAAATTTGTTCTTCAACTTCTAAACCTAATTTTCGTCACAAAAAAGTGAAATAAGCATGAAATTACCACGGCATCGGAATGAAAGACCGAGAAAGAAACCAGATTCAATACAAAACATTTTGAAAAACAAGAAATTCAAAAGAAGGAATTATAAGTAGATTTTTTGGCTATTGAACTATAATAAAGATAAGATTAACGAAACTGAAAAAAATTCAAGCCACAAAATTAAACCAAAAAAAACTCACCCGTTTTTTGATATTCTATTTCTATTGCAAACTTTTATTATAATGTAAGTCCCAATTAAGCGCAAATGGCTGTCTTCAAGATTGGATCTGATACTGCATTTGAACCATTTACATCTGATTTGGTTATCTTTAGCCCGGTAATCTTATCTTTAATTACTTCGCTGCTAGCTCTTTTCAATTTGCATTTGAAAACATAGCCAACGGACAGTTGGAAAAAAGTCAATGAACACAAAGAAACAGAAAAAATAATCATAATTACTTATTTTTTGAAAAACTTCAACTTTCGAAATTCAAAGTAACAAAAATGTATGGCCTTAATGCTCTTTGAGAAAACTGGATCCAAAAGTAAAGTTATGATTACGCTGGAAAATCAAAAACTAAAATCCACTTTTTAAAAATAGCTCAGGTTTTTTATGCAATTTCGACATTCGTATTTGGAGAGCACAATTTACCTAACTTTTAGCAGATAAATTTGAATTGAAGTCAAAAAGTGAATTTTTACCTTAAGCATTCATAAATTCATTAATATGCATGAATGCACATCTGTAGTTATTAACGCATGTTCAGACTTTTTCCTGAAAGAAAAGCAAAGAAAAAGCTTAAAGACAGTTGGAAAGAGTCAATTAACTCAAGCAAACAGAAAACATAGCCAACAGAGAATTGGAAAAGATTCAGAGAATGCAAGTAAACAAAAAAAACTGACTCGTTTTTTGGAAAAAAAACTTCAAACTGCGAATTTCAAAATGAAATGAAAAAAACTACGGTCCTGAAGATCTTTATGGATCAACCGTACCATTACCCCCTCAATGATTTAGGGAGAAAAAATACAAAGTTTACATAACAGAACTTAGAATAGAATTGTTATATCACCTACGTAACAGATTTAATAATCGAAACTTAATTAAAACGTCAACCTAACTAATTTTGTAGCCAATCAAAATACTAATTGTATTAAAGAAAATTCAAAATAGAAATTCTGGTGAGTTAGTCTGAAATGCATTATAATTTTCAAATTTTATACATACTTCGGGGAAGACATTCTACGGTAGGTCTCTTCGGGGGAGATTGAACGGTTGATTCCTCTTTATTTGAACCTTATATGTTTGACGTTAATAAGATAAAACTAACTCAATTTATTAAAAAAAACTGCATAAAACAGACAACAGTCAGTTGGAAAAGAGTCAATGACCGAAAAGAAAGTTTCAAAATTCAAAATACAAAACAGAGGGTCTTAAAGCTCTTTTTTGTTTGAAGAAATATTTAAGCACAATTAGAGAAAACTGAATCAAAGGGTCAAATTTTTATTCCGATGGGAAAACTAAAAATTCAATTCCATTTTTGAAACTAGAAGTTGATCACGTTGTTTGTGACCTTTCATCTTTCGCTGAAATAATTCAAACCACGAAAAAGTAAACTTAAGCCTCAACAAATTATCTCGAAAAAAAATCATCAGCACCTATATCAGGGTCTGAACTACGTTCTCGACTCTTAAAAAAACCACTAAGTCCCATATAAGAGTCGAAGCTTCGCAAACAAAAGCGAGAACACGACAAAAAGCAGCTCTTTAAAAAGCAATAAGTAGAAGACCCGAATTAAAAAGTAGAAGACCCAAATTAGCAAAAAAACTCGACTACGCCTGAGATTCGAACCTGACACCTGTTGCTGTGAGAGATTGTGGCTCTCACTCATTAACCACTCACCCACGGAAGCTTAAAAGGTACCAAAAACTAGTCAAAAACAAAGAGGAGAACAGATGCTATGCAATTTCCAATGCTGTAGTGAAACTTCCAAATTAGAACGTTTTTAATGACCAATTTTATTTGCGACTTGGGATTTGATTAGAAAAAAGAAGGTTCGTAATAATACACAAAGCTGATCGCGAGTGTAACACAGGCAAAAAAACAACAATATTTTTCACAACATCGAGAACTAAATTATCCCGAGTACATCAGCTTAATCACTTAAAAACGGTCGGATAATTTCTACACAGAGGCGAAGTTGCAAAAATACTACTACACTAGCAAAAATATGACCGAAAACGCAACTGGGAAAAACTGAATTACTAAAACTTTGAGTCTACAAAATTTCTAAGTGAAGCACGCCAATTATGAGTCTACATAACTGGTAAGTGACGCAACCCAATGACGCTTTAACATCACCAGTCAATTGGTATAAAAAAAGAAATTAACCAACTAACATGCCTCAATTTTTAGAGCGGACGCATTTTAACTAATATACCCAAAACATTTCTTGGAAACATCCGACCCTGCCCAGGTTCGAACCTTTTATTTTGTTGCGGGTCTCCTTTCCTACCTCTACGCTACAGATCCATGATACCTTGAAGCTAAAAAGCTATTTGTAATAAACGAGTATGTGTGAATATCCTTTGCGACTTAGATTGGAAAAAAGGGAGTTCATACTATAACACAAGCTTTGCTTGTGTTAAAAAAAAGAAAATTAGGCCATCTGAAAAACTATCAAGAGTACTGATTTCGAGAGTTTGAGAGTTATTGGACAGTCAAGCCTTTCGACAAAATCCGAAAACAACGTAAGGCGTTATAATGGAGATTGCAGTCAAAAGGAGGCCCAAAATGTTCTAGAATTTCGAAATGGACTGGAACATTTCTGAGAAATACAAAAAACGGCCATTTTGACCGGAAATAGACGAAAGAACAGAACAACCGGATTACAAGACGAAAGTTAGTCTGAAAATAGAGAAAGAAAAATAGAAGAGAAACAAGCCTCTGATCGTGACACCAAGACACGATAAAGTGCTTATCGGAAAAATATCGTGGAAACGGAAGGTCCAGTGGGACATTCGGGACGGATCCGAACCCTCCCGTGCAACGAAATCAAAGAGATAACGACGTTATCTCCGGGAGAGTGCGGAATCAGAGGCTCGGTGCCCAGTGACTATTGAAAGACATTAACGACATACTTAGCTTCTGTAATGCCCTGAACGCATTAAATTTACTACAATATTCATTTAAAATTTCAAAGCATGAGCAGTTAGAGTCGAGGAAAGAGTCTCTAATGGATTTACTATATAATTGTTAGTAAAAACATATTTAACTGTGGTTTTCTAGCCGTGTTTTTAATAGTAACCATGGTTATTTTCGCATGTAAACGAAAGCGGATCAAAAGTCGTTTGGCTGGTGACATAATACTTAGCACTTAAAAACAACTGGCTAGGTCAAGACGGTTGAAAACGAGTAGAAATAAGGTAACTGACGCCAGCCAGTCGTCAATAGGTTCTTTTTCTACGCTCCTTAATTGTGTAATGTCTGGGCGAATGTTACATTGCTTAAACTCAGCGGTAGAAAGGTAACATTCATCAGGTGACAAAAACCCTCATCTAATTTCAACCGGAAAAGTCGGTTATAATGGAAAACTGTTGAATAAAATGCTGACATTATAATCCATTCTTGATGCAAATTTAGATGATTGAAATCGATTATATTGTCATTATAATCGAATATTTCCGTAAAAACAATCAAAACCCATTATAGTTGATGATCATGGATTACAATCTCTACGTTTTTTAAAACTATTTGAAAAACTTTATACATATGCTTTACTCACGGCCAACTCACGGAAATCTAAACCTAACAATTTTTTATCTAAAATGCTTAACTATACCCCCTCTCCTGTCAATTCACGTGTTCAACCAGTAGGTGTAAGCGTGAAAAGTGAAATAAGAATAAGTAGAAAACATCCTCGAATTAGTAAAAAATTATGCTCCAAGTCGCATTCGATCCTACGGTCTCACGCCGATCCCTCTCAGCCACAGACGCTGAACAAAATTCAAACACTAGCCAGAATTAATCAGAGAACAGATGCTATGAAATTTCCAATGCTACAGATCGTGATTATAGCAAAAGTGCCACCTAATGAGCAGTTTTAATTGTGAGTTAGGTTGAAAAAAAAGAGTCATACTAATACAATACGCTCGCTAGTTTGCTAGTATAACATGCAGCGCAAAAACCTACGCACGGTCTATTGCAAAGAGGATAAAAGCTAGTTAATTCAATATTTGTTTATAGTTGGAGTTCACTCCTGCAGAGGGGCGATTTGGATTTTATTACTGACTAGAAGGCATAGATAAATGCTTTTATTATAACTAATTACTGATCATACCCCTGCATGTACATATTGGGATGCAACTGACCTTGAAAGAGAATAGGTACTTCTTGCCCTGTCTGAGTTCCTCGCTGAACAAGTCTATCGCCACTGCACTTTTCACATTGAAGTCGGGGGCTGACTTGGACCCAGTGGGGAACTGGTAGAACTCCTTCTGTACGGACATCCACATGTACTGACACTTGGAAGACGAGGTCAGAGTCCGCGCAGTGAAGATCTATCAGAACAGAAGTCCACGAATGGCATAATTCGCTTGGTTGAGATTGATGTCATTTGCAAAATCAGTGACAGAAAATTTTAACAGTAAGCAATAAAGCCGTTTCGATAAATACAATAGGTAGAAAGTGACTATGATTGATAATTTCAAACGTCAAAAAAATCAATGGACTAACCGAGCACCATGAAATGGAATTTTGGTTGAAGTCCTCTGTCTTATACTGACAGGAGAGCCTCAGTTCATTTGATATAGGCAGAGAGGCAGGCGCAGTACTCCAACAAGCCTTGCACTGACCTAATATCTTCACTGCTTTATCCGAATCAGTAGGGCCACAAAGGTTGACCTTGAAATAACAAACAAAAACGTGTCATAAATTACACGCAGGTGAAGAGGAGCTTCGTTCCAACCAACAAAAAAAGATTATAATTTCTAAAATTTTTTGAAATTCTGAGCTCTTAGTAAATCTGAACTGGTAAATGTAACATCAACGAAAACATATTTCGCCCCATATTTACACATCATTTTAACTGACATTGGAATGTGTCTTGGTTAAGCATTCCACTTCACTTACCTTTGCCCACTCGACCTTGACACTGGGCCTGTGCTGCAGCTGGAACTCGGTCAGCTCCAGTTCCGCGTTGGATCCATTCCTCGCAGTCAGCAACATGATCGGAGGCTGGATCGCTGAAAGCTAACTATTTTACTAATGGTCATTAGAAAACGAATACACTGAAGTCGTGTCACGTTAAGTCATCAAGGAAACTAACTATTCCATATTTATCAGGACGAACTTCTTAGAAATTAAGATGGAAGTCACGAACGTATGATTCATCTCAATTAATTGTTCGTGCGAATTGCCATCGCACATGCCAAAAAAATGCTTTTTGATGCAAGTATTTTTTTGGTTAACCAGCCAGAGGCCCAACCCGGAGGTTAATTATTAAAGGTCAACTAAGCTGTGGCTCTCTTACAAGAGCTCACCGTGAAAATTGCAGCGCACGTGCGATTTGAGCCCGCAATATTATAATTGCTCGGCACAATCACTACCGATGCACCACAAAGCCATAAAGTATCCATTGAAAGAAGTTATTCTAATAATCATAAACTCTAAATTGAGCCAAATCGGTATTTAAAACGTCTTAAAATTTCAATCTTAACTGAAAACATCTTGAATTTGGATAACTTTTCCTCCCACTAGTTTTTAAAAACGTTTGCTCACCGGGAAGCAGTTCTGGCACAATAGTGAGAGGCCTCTTTGATGGCACTTGACAGTTACTGGTGAGAGATATCTGAGATGGGTGGACTACCCAGTGGAAACAGACGTGGTGAAAGTCAGTGAGAATAGACGTGAATACTTCCAACTCTATCTCCAATTCCTTCTGCTCACTTGACTCGCCTCCCAAAACCACAGACTCTGCCGGAAAAAAAATCTTAAGATAACCTATTCTATTTTCTGATAAGACGCAAATAAGAGTTAAAATTGTCTTTTCTTGCCCGCTATCTTCGAGCGTCAAATTGTAATGAAAATTGTTAATTAGATTAAATAAAAGGAAACATTCTCTTCGACAAACAAACGTACTAACTTTAAAAAAAAAAACTAAAATTAACGATTTTATCTGAGAAAATTGGCATCGCTAAGCTACCATAAAGACGGTCAGAACTATACTGGAATCAAAAAATCAACTGCATAACTTACCTGTTAACACTTTAACAGTAGCTGTAGGACATGAACACATTTCTAGGAGATAGGTCGGGCTAGTCGGCCACTCGGAAGGTTCTGCCACCACTGACACTTTCGTTTTCACATGTGAATGAATTGGCTTCGTTGCTTCCATCACACTCACTTTCGGCGCTATATTGTGTATGTGGAAGTCGATACTTTTCGGAGGCACTATATCCATTCTTACATTGCCCATTATACATGATATCTTCTTGAACTGGTACAAGCCCGCAGTTCTGAACTCTCCTCCCACTCTGTATTTGTGTTTGCCAGGTTTGATTGTAAATACTCCCTCGCCTCCTTCAAACGGTAATTGGCATTAAAAAACAGCCGTTAATAATTTGATTTAAGTACAGCAAATGTGGTTTCCAAGTCTGAATCAAGTCTAATTTTATTTGAAACAATTATTTACATTTTGAATTTAAACGAAGTTTTTAAAGAAGCCCAACAATTTTTCAAAGGAGGAGATTTTTGATATGATTTTTCTTCTTTAACACATGATGGCTATTTTGAATCATATTGAGAATCAACTCAGGTTGAAATTAGCTAAGCTCGGCTTAATCATTGCTACATTTTATTTTTAAAAGTAACGAGAACTTTTTGTTGAATTAAATGCTCATCATTTGCCTTTAGTGAATCTGTTTTCGATGGCGTTGATGACACTGCCTGCCGCTTGGCTACTCTTAGTAGTTCCCACACTGTCCTGCTTGGTGCTCGCCTGACTCCGCTCAATCACTTGTTCCGGTCGGAGGAAGCGCAAATGGGAACCTGGATTTACTCAACACTTAACACACCGACAAACGCTACATAAAATCAATTTTGAATCATGTATTTCAGAATGTATTTGCATAAATATTTTCTTGTTCGTAGACATGCAGACAAAAGGTTCTAGACGCGTTTTCCGTCGTTATTTAACATAGCCAATCGAAGATTGGAAAAGAGCAATGAACGCAAGTAAACAAAAAAAACACTGGCTTTTTTGAAAAAATCTCAACTTTCGAATTTCAAAGAAAAAAATAGATGCCCTTTGAGCTCTTTGAATTTCTAGAACGATTAATGATTGGCGCTTTTTTGATAATATTAACCCAACTTGAGAAAAATAGATCAACAGGTAATCGCTGGAAATCTAAAAATGGAATTCCACTTTCGAAACTAGAAATCGTTCGATTTTTCGCGCCATTTCCACGTTCGTATTTGTAGAATGCTATTTACATCACTTTCAGCAGATGAATTTCAATTAAAATCAAAAAAGCATATACACCTAAGTGCATTCATAAATGCATAAATATGTATGAAAGCACATCTATAGTTATTAGAGACTTTTAGGACTTTTCCTGAAAAGAAAAAAAACAGCAAGAACTATAAAAGAGTCTTCACTACGTTCATTACTCTTAATAACACCCAACAATTAAAATTAAATTCATCTATTGTTAAGTATCTTGTGAGATCTAATTTATTAAATTCGTTCAAAATCCTACTATTAGAGACTATATACAACAATTAAGAGCGATATTTACACCGTCATTTAGCATCATGTGTGGGGGTTGAGAAATTAGACGGAGGCACTTAAAACGAAATTATACGGTTTTGTAAAACTGCAATTGTGAGAAAAGAGACGAAAGTGAGAGAGATTAAAACTGTTTGCAGACAAACTGCGTGAGAAAAATAATATTGTTTGCAGACAAATAAATTTCGGTAGCCAAAAATGCAAAATTTCAAAATAGTTCCATCGAAATATCGAGGTGGACAAAATCTTATTACCGATGAAGGTTATAGATTTAAAAAAGATAGCAAAACCAAATTTGGTTGTCATTATCGCTGTGTTATCTCCAATTGCTAGGGAAAATCAATGACAAATTTAGAAATTACAAAAATTATTCGAAAATCAGGCAACCACAGTCACGAACCCAACCTTATGTAGAACGAAGAAGAAATTTTCGCAAAAAAATTCTGACCGAAATCCAAAATGATCCGACAAAACCGGTGAAAATGATTTACGACGAGCAAGTTAAACTGAATTCGGAAATCGAAAATCCACCGGAGTATCACAAAATTAGCAGCGGGCTACTAAAAGAACGAAATCGAATTCTGCCAAAAATTCCGAGAATTTTACAGAATGTGAAAAAAGATGGTATGTGGAGTAAAACGAGCGACAATCAAGATTTTGTGTTAGATCAAGATGTTGGATTAGTGATTTTTTGTTCGTTAAAAAACCTGCAAATTTTGCAAAAAAGTCAAAAATTTTGGGTGACGGAACTTTCAAGACTGCACCAAAACCTTTTCATCAAATTTATACAATATTCAGTGTAGTGCAAGATCGCAAAATTCCGTCACTTTTGGCTCTGATGTCCGAAAAAAACAGAGGAAGCTTACCAAAATTTATTGGAAAAAATTGACGAAAAATGTCAAATTTTTTTGTCGAAAATTTTTGAACCAAGTTTTTTTATATCCGATTACGAGACGGGTTTCATTGCCGCAGTGAAAAAATTGATGCCACAAGTTGATCATTTGGGCTGTTATTTTCATTATACTCAAGCAGTTTTACGAAAAATTCGAAATTTTGGTCTTATTATTGCCTACAGGAATAATCGTCCATTTCAGTTACTTTGTCGCAAAATTTTCAGCCTAGGAATTTTGCCAATCGACCATGTGATTACATATTTTGACAAATTTATAACAATCTGGTTTATGCCGAAGACTGAAAATTTTCTTCCCAAAAATTTGGTCAATTATGTCGAAAAAAATTTGGATCCAAAAAACTGGAGTTTTTATGTGGAACGTTTATGATAGACCACAAAATCTCCGAACAACAAACGCCTGCGAATCATGGCATGCTTCCTGGAACAGAAAAATTAGAAGGAACCACCGATCTTTATGGGTAGTTGTGGACGAATTGAAAAAACAGAAAATCACAAAAAATGTATACTCAAAAAATTCGAAAGGTGAACCTCCACCTCCACAGAAAAAAAGAGCGTTTGCTCAATGCCAAAATCCAGCGATTGAAAAACAACTATGAGGAGAATATTATCAGTTTGCACATTTATTGGAACAATAAAGGCGTTATTTGCCGAAATTTGTAAAAAATGAACGTAAATATTTACATGTCAATTATGCATAATTTATTCAATTCATAACTCTTCTGTAATATTCGGATTTGACGTTTTATGTTCATTTAAATTAATTGTTTTGATAGGTATTGTCATTTTATGTTCTTTTCGTATTTGTGAAACTTGACTTTAAAAAAAATTTTGTTGGCCCTTTCCTTATCATAGCAGCGACGTCTAAAATGCCAGATCTGTAAAGAAAACTTCCGTCTAATTTCGGTTTTGTAGCATCCGTCTAATTTGCTTATCGTCTAATTTCCTAGGCCCCATCATGTGTTTTCTGGTGGATGCAATCAGCGCAAAATTACCCAGATCGTAATTGAATATTCACTCGATGCACAAAGACAATACAGAACTCACTTCGCACATATCCGAGTCTGTAGTCCTCGTCGAATGAGGCGTAGTACCACTTGACCACAGCACCTATCAGTTCAGAGGGAAACAAGCTGTCTAACACTAGGTCGAACAACTTCAGATCAGCCACTACTGTGGCTCCTGTCACTCCAGCTCCCAGTTGTTGCTGCTGCTGTTCCGCACAGGCTGGAGCCGCAGTCGCATCATCCACTGCCTTTAAAAATTTCAAGCTCTCAGTTCCTTCCCAGAATAGATTTTAACACTATATAAAACATAGCCAATGTACAGTTTGAAAAGAGTCAATAAAATCAAGAAAACCGACAACGAAATGGCTGATTACTTTTGAACCAATTTTATAGAAAAAATGGCCTTGAAACTCTTTTCGCACTTCGTTATTGGAGAGAAAAATTAACCTTCCTTTAGGCAAAGTAATTTGAATTGAACTTGAAGAAAAGAAACCGCGAAGTAAATCGAATCTGACAAACAGCGCTTAGGAAGTTAGAAAATTGTCGACGAAATCATGGGAATCAAAAAAATATTGGGAGAACAAAACAAAGCCAACAGACTATTGGATTCAGATTCAAAAAAGAAAAAAAATATTGCCAATTTTTTCAAAAAAAACTCAAATTTTAAAAAAATATATGGCCTTGAAGCTCTTTGAATTTCCAGAACATTTTATAGTTCATAATTTTTCGATAAGATTAACTCAATTTGAGAAAATTGGATTAAAATGTACAGGTTTCATTCCGCTCAGAATACTGAAAATTAAAATCCAATTTTCAAATTAGAAGTCGATCACGTTTTTCGTGGCCTTTAACCTTTTGGTGTTTGGTACGGGAGTTTGCCTTCCTTTTAACAAACGAAATGAAATGAACACAAAAAAAAACACAAATCAAACCGCGAAAAATCAAACTACATTCATCGACTCTTATCAGACCAATCTCATTGAATATCAGTTTTATTCATCAAGATCCATTGCGTTCCATTAGCAAAAGAAATTGAATTCAATAAAAAAGAACACAAAGTCAAACAGCAAAATAAAATCAAATTCAATTCTACAAATTTGAACCTCACAACTAACTTCAAGACCCGAAAAAATATATGAATTTCAATTCATTCATTGACATTTACAAAACTTATGACCATCCACATGTTACCGTTATGAAATTTTGGAAACTCTTTTATAATTGAATTTCAAACACATTCAGCTTTCATACCTAAATTCGGTACAACGACTTTTTATACTATACGAATTATGTTGAGATGCCGGTTGTAGGGACGATAAGAAAAGCTGTTTCAGATTTAAAAAAATGCAGCGACTAAGACACCCTTTAAGCATTATATATTCACACAAGATTGCTCATATCAGGGCAAAACCCTGAATGTTCCGACTGCCCTTTGACGTCTTCTACTGCCCTTTGACGTCTTCTAAAGTTTTTTTTGGTTTTCAAAAATTAATCAAAATTTCAGTAGAAATTCTAACAGATGCATTTCGTACCGTCTTGTGACGTATCGATAAGAACAGAAAGCTTAGTTTAATTTAGTATTTGGAATAATTTTAGAACCGGATTAGATCGCCACTAGCGCGTTGCGTTAATAGCACGAAATAAATCGTGCGTAAGTTGTCCCAAATTGGGAACTTTCAAACCCCGTAGCTTTACAAAAATTGTTCACTGGGAATTTTTTTTCGAATTCGAGTTCTGCGCATTTTTTTTAGCTGGAATAAAATTTTTGAACAGGGGCGAATGTGCACTTCGCAAAAAAGCCAAGAAGTAATTAAAGGTCAAACAATGAAGCATGAAAAGAGAAAAGTAATGAGATTTTAAAAACAAATTAGCTCTACGGAAATCGAACTTAAGCCATCAGACATCCAAACTTTCAAGTGAATTGCCCAACTCAACTGAGCCACTGACGCTTACAAACACAAGTCAATGACAAATCACAGAATACATATTGAGTAACTGCGTACTATGAGTTCGTAATATGACACTACGTAGGCTAGCTCGATGGTGTGAAATATAAATTATAGAAGAAAAAAACCAAGCATAAATAATCCATACAGGCGAAGCTGAGCAGCACACAAGTTGCGATACCAAACAAGAAAGCCTGTAAGTCAAAAAACATTGAAAAATGTCAAAAAAACCAGATCTATCGAAATTAATATGTCTCTAGTTTCGAAACAAAAAACAAGCCAAGACAATAGAAAGTAAAATTCGCATCGAAAGAAAATTTACCGAGCGGTAACAAAGCCGAAAACACCAAAACTTGAAAAAGACTTAATAACATTTTTAACTCCCCCTCAACCTCAACACACAAACTTTATTCGCCTGTCAAATGAAACAATATGAGGCCACTAAGACAATCTAAACTAAGCCAAAAACTATAAAGCCGAAACAAAAAAATTCGAAAAAAAAATTCAAAACAGTTTAAGACTAATTAAAAGTTATAAGTCCACCTCACCCTCAAAACACACATACACACAAAGAAAACTTTTTCGCTCCTCGTACGACAAAATATGATGCCACAAAGCCGATATAATATATTCCGAATCTTGTTAAGCCAAAAAAAAATTCGAAGAAATTTGAGACTACTTAAAATTTTATTAAGTCCCCCTCGCCCTCAAAACACACAAAAACTTTTTCCCCCGTCAAACGACGCAATATGGCCACTAAGCCAAAATAATATAGGTCAAAACCCATCAAGCCAAAAAAAGAAAAGAAAAAAACATGACATATTAACAAAATTACAAGCGACAGTTGGTTAAATTACAATCTGTTCTGTACAAAAATTTCGAACAGAACAGATAGATTCCCAATAAGCATAAAATATATCTGTAGCGGTAAATGGGTTGCTGTCCTTGAAGGAAACGAGTCCTGTGGACAAAGTTGTTTAGGGGGGAAAAGTCTAATACCCGATTGCAATACCCTTGCTTATCGCAAGGGTAATCACTTTTTTTCTAGTCAGAAAATAAATTGTAACACGAGCATACCAATTTTTATTTGTATCACATTCTTCGGAGATAAGTAGCCTTAATTGAAGGTCCATGTCATAACTATCAACCAAACATGCATTATTTTATGACAGATCTACAAGCCCACAGAACGAAAAAAAAAGATTTCATTCAATTTTTAGAAACCATAGAGTTTAAAACCAGGTTAATTACACCATATTGACTAATTCAAGTAAACTCGACTCACTGTGAATGAGATTATTCGTATTCCATTCTCGGACAGAAAAGGCGAAGTGATTTCACTCTTGGGACTAAGTCCGTTGAATATGGCCGACATTCGAACTCCCTTCGGATCTGACGAATTAGTCGTTTCTTTGTTCAGAGCAGACGCCAGCACATTGATGGCATCAATTGATACGTTTTTATCTTGACACGTGATTAGGTTGGGTTGGTAATTGGTCGATAATTTATAAGATCGAACTTTTTCGAAAATTCATAGTTTGACAAAGCACATACAAAATTCACTTCGCTCATGAACTCTTCAAAACACGCAGATAATATTCAGGTGCAATTATTATACCTTTATAAAATTATCTCCGAACAACTTCATACCTTCACATTCGTGGTGAAAAACGAAATCCAACCTTCATGACATCTTAGAAAAGCTATCTATGACAACTTAAAAAATAAGCATATTTAACTCTTATTTGCGGAAAACGCTTCATCACTGCGTTAATAAAAACTGCCAACCCAACCGTGCTGCTGACACTGGACAATTTTGCTCCTGATGAGAACTTCAATCGAAGGCCATAGTTCATTCGTGTAGACTGCGACCGAGTCAGAGTAGTGTTTGGCAGCCAGTTCCAATTTCCCATTGGCCATCAGGAAGTCAGCTAATTGCACGGTCTTCCAACACGCATTCCGCTTCCAACCTGATGATGCCAAAAAAATTAACAAAGAGGCGAAGCGAAGCGATACAACAAAAACATTGCATAGCAAAAGGGTGAAAAAAACAGGCAGTTGGAAAAGTGTAAAAGAACAACAAACTGAAAAAAAGTTGATTGAAAATTTTCAATTACTTTTCAAATTTTGAAAGACATAGCCAACAGACAGTTGGAAAAGAGCCAAGGAACGCAAGGAAACATTGAAAAAAAACTTACATTATCAAACAAAAGAATTCAAACTCAGCATCGGAACAAAATTAACCAAGCGGTGACAAAGCCGAAAATACCTGCGCAGAAACTTTTCAAACCGAACTTTTTTAATTCAAAACTAATTAAAATGTTTGCACCCCCTTCCCCTCAGTATACACACAGGCACACCAAAACTTTTTCCACGCATCAAACGACGCAAAAAGAGGCTACTAAGCCGATATAAAGCAAGTCGAGAAAAATTAAAAAATGAAATTTCAACAAACCGAGTGGTAAAAAAATAACCAAATAAAAAGTGCAGACGCGAGCGTTAAAAATGTGTTTCGGTTGAAACGACCCAAAATTAGGCCAATAAACCTATAAACATACGTGGAAATAATTTGTGCCCCATAAAGTTTTTAAGCGAAACAAAAAAAGAGAAAAACGAAGCCTAGGTAAATAAAATTACAATACAAAAACCTTGCAAGAGTAAATCAAACACTAAAAGCAACCTTACATAAATATGCGCGTAGCAAACAAAAGCGATTTCAAGATGTGGCAAAGTAGCCGACAAAAGGTAAGCAGAAAATTTTATTTGAAACAGAATATTTTCCGTTTGAAAATAAAAAACAGGTCCTGGTCAGATTCAAACCCCAGACCTTTGACATCCCAGGCGCATTATTTACCTCTAGGAAATTTGAATTTAAAAGGAAACAAGGTACCAGTAGAGATGAGTTCAGAAGTCCAGATGAGTCAAATGAACTAAGTTATTAACGGAAAAGAAGTCTAATACCAGATTGCAATACCCTTGCTTATCGCAAGGGTAATAACTGCTTAAAATGGGTTCGAAGAATTTTCCTAGTGCTGTTGGATTGATACATTATTTAAAAAGATATCAAAACGAAGTCAATTAAAATGTTTTTTGAAAGGTTTCACTAAAGCTGTTCCAAAAAAATATCCTTCTCGTAGCTTCTAGTATTCCTATTTTCGCTATTTCAATCCAAAGAATTCCTGTTGATTACTTCACGATAGTTGGAGAGTCACTGATTCAAAAACAATGAATTGAAGTATTTTGGTTGCTACGAAATTGACCAATGAAAAAAATCACGAAACGTGACCCAGTTGCTCTCTCTTTCCCCTCGACCAATAATATAGCGAACAAAAAAGAATGAAAAAAGCAAAAAACGGCTTCGTTTTTATTTTAATTCAATTTGACAGAGATTACAGTGGTCGGAAACTTTTAGGCTATTAGCTTACTCATCTAATATTTTCGGCTATTCTGGTTCTCAAATACTATTAGATGAGTAAGACTAAACAACGATGTGCATAAGTTTCAAGCCCCTAAAAACAGCTTATAGCATTCACAGTGCTCAAAGACTCCTGCTCAAATTGCACAAGCTATTGTTCTTGTTCTGACTTTCGAAGAAAGTAAGAAATATATAAGCCTTTGCACTAGTTTTTTTTTATTGAGACCAATTTCACAAAGTTTTCTCAGCCCTGATATACGAGACTTGACATTCCAACCAGAATAATGGAACCAGCAAAGACACAAAAGGTTAATATCAATCAAGTAAATAATTTTTGATTTATGAATTTGAACTTTGCTTCCTGCTCAGGTACCAAAACCTAGAAGACAACGGCGTTTAATGAAACGACTGAAATATTTCAACTCCGAATTAAAAACCCACAGAGCACTGGTGGCTATACAAGGGGGTACATAAATTTTGATTTATGAAATCGATTTTTGTTTGCTGCTTAGGTACCACAATCTAGGAGACATAGGCGTTTTATACAGCTGAAATAATTTAAACCCAATAAGAAACCGGCAGAACTACTGTAGGCTAAACAATGGGGTACATAATTTTTGACTTATCAACTCAAAATTTGTTTTGCTTAGTTAGGTAGGAACCAGAATCTAAGAGACATTGGCGTTTTAATTAGCTGGAATATTTAACACCAAATGAGAAACACGCAGAAGCACTGTCGGCTGAACAAAAGGGTACAGAATTTTTGATTAATGAAATCAATTTTTGTTTGCCGTTTAGGTACCACAATCTAGGAGACATAGGCGTTTTATACAGCTGAAAAAATTTAACCCGAACAAGAAACCGGCAGAACTACTGTAGGCTAAACAATGGGGTACATAATTTTTGACTTATGAACTCAAAATTTGTTTTGCTTAGATAGGTACCAGAATCTAAGAGACATTGGCGTTTTATATAGCTGGAATATTTAACCCCAAATGAGAAACACGCAGAAGCACTGTAGGCTAAACAAAAGGGTACAGAATTTTTGATTAATGAAATCAATTTTTGTTTGCCGTTTAGGTACCACAATCTAGGAGACATAGGCGTTTTATACAGCTGAAAAAATTTAACCCGAACAAGAAACCGGCAGAACTACTGTAGGCTAAACAATGGGGTACATAATTTTTGACTAATGAACTCAAAATTTGTTTTGCTAAGGTACCAGAATCTAAGAGATATTGGCGTTTTATATAGCTGGAATATTTAACCCCAAATGAGAAACACACAGAAGCACTGTAGGTTAAACAAAAGGGTACCAGAATCTTTCGTTTACTGTTTAGGTACGACAATCAGAGGAAACGAACACGATTTAAAGGTACAAAATTTTTGATTAATATAATCAATTTTTGTTTGTTGTTTAGGTACCAAAACCTGGGAAACATAGGCGTTTTATACAGCTGAAATATTTTAAACCCAAAAAGAAACCGGCAGAAGGACTGTAGGCTAAACAAAAGGGTACATAACTTTCGACTTATCAACTCAAAATTTGTTTAGCTTAGGTAGGTACCAGAATCTTAGAGACATTGGCGTTTTAATTAGCTGGAATATTTAACCCCAAATGAGAAAAACGCAGAAGCACTGTAGGCTGAACAAAAGGGTACAGAATTTTTGATTAATGAAATTAATTTTTGTTTGCCGTTTAGGTACCACAATCTAGGAGACATAGGCGTTTTATACAGCTAAAAAATTTAACCCGAACAAGAAACCGGCAGAACTACTGTAGGCTAAACAATGGGGTACATAATTTTTGACTAATGAACTGAAAATTTGTTTTGCTTAGGTACCAGAATCTAAGAGATATTGGCGTTTTATATAGCTGGAATATTTAACCCCAAATGAGAAACACACAGAAGCACTGTAGGTTAAACAAAAGGGTACCAGAATCTTTCGTTTACTGTTTAGGTACGACAATCAGAGGAAACGAACACGATTTAAAGGTACAAAATTTTTGATTAATATAATCAATTTTTGTTTGTTGTTTAGGTACCAAAACCTGGGAAACATAGGCGTTTTATACAGCTGAAATATTTTAAACCCAAAAAGAAACCGGCAGAAGGACTGTAGGCTAAACAAAAGGGTACATAACTTTCGACTTATCAACTCAAAATTTGTTTAGCTTAGGTAGGTACCAGAATCTTAGAGACATTGGCGTTTTAATTAGCTGGAATATTTAACCCCAAATGAGAAAAACGCAGAAGCACTGTAGGCTGAACAAAAGGGTACAGAATTTTTGATTAATGAAATTAATTTTTGTTTGCCGTTTAGGTACCACAATCTAGGAGACATAGGCGTTTTATACAGCTAAAAAATTTAACCCGAACAAGAAACCGGCAGAACTACTGTAGGCTAAACAATGGGGTACATAATTTTTGACTAATGAACTGAAAATTTGTTTTGCTTAGGTACCAGAATCTAAGAGATATTGGCGTTTTATATAGCTGGAATATTTAACCCCAAATGAGAAACACACAGAAGCACTGTAGGCTAAACAAAAGGGTACCAGAAACTTTCGTTTACTGTTTAGGTACGACAATCAGAGGAAACGAACACGATTTAAAGGTACAAAATGTTTGATTAATATAATCAATTTTTGTTTGCTGTTTAGGTACCAAAATCTGGGAAACATAGGCGTTTTATACAGCTGAAATATTTTAACCCCAAAAAGAAACCGGCAGAAGGACTGTAGGCTAAACAAAAGGGTACATAACTTTCGACTTATAAAGGCATATCTGGTTGTATGTTCACTGATTAGGGCAATGTCATTTTTACAGCTAAAATCGTTGAAACCCAATGAGAACCAGACAAGCAATGTAGAGTTAACAATGGGGTACATAATTTTCAATTTATGAATTCGATTTTCGTTTACTGTTTAGGTACGACAATCAGAGGAAACAAACACGATTTAAAAACATGGAATAATTTCACCTCAACTAGGAATCCGGCAGAAAATTGTAGGATAACCAATTAAAATCCAATTTTTGATTTCTAATTTCTATTTGTTTTTACTGCTTAAGTAGCAAAATCTAGGAGACAAGGAGGTTTAAATGCAGCTGAAAATGGGAATCTAGATATGGTATTTTTAAATACAGCTGAAATATTTAAGCCCCAATTATTAAATCTTCAGAAACACATAACAACAGACATATAGAAAAGAGTCAATGAACTCAAGCAAACAAGTAAAATAATATTGACGTTTTTAAATATATTTATATGCCCTTAAACAACAATTTGCAATTGCCTTTTTTTATTAAGTTAACCGAATTTAAGACTAGATCAAAAGGTAATTTTTTCGGTTCTGCTGGGAAAACTGAAAAATATAATCCACTTTTGAAACAAGGGCTCTTTTTCCTTCCCCCCCCCCCACCTGCAAATTTTTACATGTAAATTTGTTGACCACATTGTCCGATTGTTATGAAAATTTACATACAGACTAATAAGGCCACGACAAACATATTTGGTCTTCATACTCGACCTCGTAAAACCACTCGTTAGACTAATATATTGAAGCTCGTGTGAGGTGGGAGGGGAGGAAAAAGAGCCGAAACTAGAAGCCGATCATGTTTTTCGCGCCTTCTACACTTTTGCTGTTTGATAGTGGAATTTGCTTTGCTTTTAAAAAAGAGAATGAACTGAAATTAAAAAGAAATCATAGGTCAAACCTCTTTTCCTGAAAAAAAACCATCGCGACCAATATAAGAGTCTTCACTACTTTCATTGATTCTTAATTATGTGTTTACGAATTTCAATTTGATGAAAATTATTTAAACTAGCGTGTACCGCACCTCCGGTGCTTCGAATTTTCAACAACTCAAAAAACTATTCTTTGAGTGTACTCTGACAGCGCCTAATTACAGGGTTCGTAATTAAAAATTTTGCAAATTTTTTTATACAAATTTTGAAAAACCATAAAATTTTGTGAAGTTGTATATAAGTTCTTCAAAAAAGTTAAATTGAACTAAGAAACGTCACATCTGTGAAACAAAGCAATTGAGCAGTCGCATTTGGACGCAAGATTTTCAACTCCTGAGAGTACCCTTACAGTACCCAACCACAACGTTGGGGAATTGAAATTTTGAGAAACTTCACCTTAAGTTTTTTTAAAGAAGTATTTTTTTTGAAAACCAGAAAAAATTCACATTTCGAAAACTACCAAAATTTGAGCAGTCTTTCTTTGATGGCAATATTACCAATCGTTGAAAGTACACAACTACAGGGTTGGGAATTTCACTTAAACGAAATTTTTTTGTATTTTGAGTTTTCTGAAAATTCCAAAAAAAATAACAGAAATCGTCTTATCCCCTGAACAAAAATGATTTAGGCATTAATAATTTGAGGCCGAAATTGCAACCCGTGAGATTACTCTGACAGCCCCCCAACTACAGGTTAGGAATTTCAAACTTTGAAAAAAAAAATTTAATTTTCATGAAAATTTTTTGAAAAAATCACAAAAAAACGTCAAATCTCAAAAACTCCAAGAAACTGAGCAGCCATATTCAGAGGCAAGATTTGCAATCCCCTGAGATTGCCCTCAAAGATTACAATAACAGGAATAAGACCTTCAAAACTTTTGGAATTTTTACATTAAATTTTTTTTTGCAACTTTCGGGGAAAATCATAAAAAACGTGATATCTCGAAAACTACAAGAATTTGAGCAGTCATATTTGGAGACAAAATTCGCAACTCCTGAGAGTATCCTGACAGAGCCTCACTACAGAGCTGGTAATTACAAGTTTTGTGAATTTTTTTATATCAAAACTTTCTGAAAAATTTTGCAAAAAATCCAAAAAACGTCATATCGCGAAAACTACAAGGATTTGAGCAGCCATAATCAAAGGCAAGATTCGCAACCCCTGAGATTACCCTCCCAATATCCAACAACAGGATTGAGATTTTCAACGTTTTGGAATTTTTTAAAATATAAGTTTTTGAAAAAATTTTTAAAAAATCATAAAAAACATCATATCTCCAAGGATTTGAGAAGTGAGAATTGTAGGCAAGATTCGCAACCCCTGAGAGTACCCTGGCAGCACCCAACTACAGGTTGAGAAATTCAAAATTGAGAAATTTTTTAAATTAAATTTTCCAGAATTTTTTTTGAAAAACCTCGAAAACTGCCAATCTCGTTTAACTGAAAGGATTTGGTTATTCATATATGGTGGCCAGATTCGCAAAACCTGGGAAAACTCTGACATATCCTACTATTGGGTTGATATTTTCAAACTTGATGGAATAAACACTGAATTTAAACTGGAAAATCGAAAAAAAAACCTTAACCATTGCAATATACGATATAGCTTAAACGTGAAAAAATTCATTTGTTAAACATGCAAAAATAATACGTTGAAAAAGCTTAAACATGGCGAGATAGTGAAGCCCGCATTTAAATATAGTATAGATTACGTAAAAATGTCGCCTAAGGTTCTTAAATTATTGCTGTAGTAAGATAATGACGGTTTAAGCATCTCCAACCCGATTCGGAAACCAAAAAAAAACTACAGGAAAATGTGTAAAAATTACTTGGTTTTCATAAATATTCGGATTTCAAAAAAAAAATTAACTAAATGCTTACTCGCCTTTGTGTTTGCATGTGCTGATTGCCATAGTTATCAATTCTTCAAATTTCTCGTCATAATTACTTTTGGAACTGAGTGCTTTTCGAAGCTGCAACGAAGCTATGCACTCGTCACTTTGCTCGACACCCGCCATAATATCCAAGCCAGCTTGAATTTTATCACTGGACTGTTTTTCTTTCGAGTATAGTCCAGTTGCAGTTCCCAGATTCTCCAATGCAATCCTCGCTACTTCCCACAAACGTATGGTATACTCAGGGAAGTCGAATAAATTAACCTTAGCTTCATTTTTACAGTAAAGCAGAACTGATAATACAGTTACGAATGCCCAACAATCAATAGCGTGAGGGGATGTCGCTTTCGATGGCACAAGAACAGTTTTCAAAACAGTCTGGGTAAAAGTCACAAAATCCAAGGTAACAGAAAACAATTTATCAACTGATGACGCGTCCCTGAGATACTGGAAGAAAATATTGGCGAATATTAGATTTTGTAAATCTAAAAAAGTTAATTTCTGTTTTTCAGACAAGATTGAATCCCTGTTTTTAGAAATAAGAGATTCGTTTAATGTCATTCCAGGCCATCTAGATTGTTCAGCTAAGAAAGATTTCACCCACGAGATCCTAGATCCATTCTTGCAGTTTAAAACACTCTGCTCAACATAAGCCTTTAGCTCCAGGTAGCTCTCTCTTACTGCTTGGTGTATCTGAATGACTTTGTAAAATTCCATTAAGGCTTCGTAAGATTTCAAATAAGTCACGATATTCCAATCTGACTGTTCTCTTTGATCCCACTCTTTCTTCAGCACTTCCTCATTTTCGGCTAAGATTACATCAACTGCATAAATAATGGACTCTTTCAGCTTCCCAATAAACACCTCGAAAGCGAAATTGGAAGTTATCGAAGCTGATGTTGAAAAGAGGAAAACAAATTTTGTTTCGAAGTTTTTCGAGAAACTGTAAAAGTTGCGCACTTTGTCCATACAGGCAGGCTTTAAACGAATCAATTTAACATCGGTATCCAACCGTTTATCACAAAACTATTTGTGATAAAAACATTATGGCAAACTAGTAATAATACAATCAATGAGCAAATAGCAAATTATCCATAAATATTTCTTTTCCTCTATATTAACTCTCAAATTTTAAATAACAATTTTTGCCCACGACATTTGGAGCAGCTTCCTTTCCTTTACTGATTTTTTTGTATCTGATTTTGGTATATTTTGCAGAAACATGAAATTATAGAACTAGTGTGGACCCTATAATTAAGTTGATTCCTTGGAGCTGTTCTTGTTCAGTCGGACTTGGTCTGATACAAGAATAACTATGGCAAAAAAGGGGTTCCCAGGGTCGTTATTGAAAGCAGCAATCCATTCATTAAACACAGACTTCTTTGGCTGATAATATAGCACAGGGTTGTCAAAATAAAAACATTTTTACTATCATGACAGTTCAAATTAATCACAGTCTTTTAAATTAATCAGTCTAATAAAAAAATTAAACTTATCAGTCGTATAAAATAGCACATGGAAAAATGTGCTGTGACCACTTTCAGTCTTGTTTAGCAAAAAGTGGCCTTTTCGACTGAATAATTTAGCTTTTTCCAAAATATTTTTTTCTACCAGAATTTGACAACCCTGGTATGTGACGTCATCAACTAAATGCAACACAAACAGGTTGAAAACAGGTGGACAACTGCTGTGCATAAGTTGGGAAGCTTGAGTGGCCAAAGCTAGAAGACTCGAAGACCTCTTCCGCTTCATAGGAGACTCCTGAAAAAAACAAAGCCCTTGAATTCTTTTTTTGATTTTGGAATTTGATTCTTTTTAATGTAAAAACCTGTTACAAGAATGGGTTATTCATAGATTGTCAAAAATTGTTTATGTACACAGAGGCAAAAATTAAAAATCATGAAAAAAGAGCACACAATATCAATGAAAACATCAAATCAAATAAAAAATACTTCGCAAAAAGCAACGGCCATAAGTACGATATGAAATAGAAAAGATGAACTGAAGAAAAAATCCGCCATTCAATAGGACACGCCCAAATTTGGGAAAACTTTTCTACATTATACTACGCGCAACACATCTGGTGTTGTCTCAGATACTCGAAGCCAAATAATAGAGGAATACATAGGGAATACAAGCTTTACCAAGTACTTGTGAGACGAACAAGTAAGCTCAAAAATTGACTTTTCTTCAAACATTCTGATGACTCTTGATAATATTGTTCAATTCCATTCCACCAGTTAAGACTGCAGCAATAATAAGCATTTCCAGGATACTTGAACACAACTTGAGCAAAAACAAAGATAAAATCAACTCAAATCACAATCCTTATGAAGCTTAATCGGCCCATTTCCTTTTAAAAGGAAATACATTACCAAAAATAGCAAGAAATTGTGTTTATTTAAAAAAACAGTTAACAATTTGTGTGAGACTAAATTTGGAGCCAATACCAAACTTCAAAATCAACGTTATTTAATTGAAAGAAAAAGACAGCCAAACATCAACCGTTTAATCAAACCTAAACATTGCCTAGAACAATGAAAAACACTAACACAATGAAAAATTATGAGAATTTTTATGAATCGGTAATTTTCACTTGATAATATTCATGGTGCTGAAAAAATGGAACAAAAAACACAAGTCACTTAACACTTCAACAATTGATCGGCACTTTTCACACAGAAACTTACAATCCAACACTTGCGATACAACGCAATCAAAGCATTGCAAGCTACCGACCAATAAGTCTACTAATGGTTATCTCAAAGGTGTTAGAAAAATTAATTTTCGATAAAATGATTTCATCAGTGAAATTCAGCATCTCAAACTCACAACACGGCTTCCGACAACAACGATCTACTGTTACAAACCTCATTGAGTATCTCCATGAGGTACATACTTACTATGATAATATCGAAACAAATTACCTGGCTTGCCTCTACCTAGATTTCCAAAAGGCATTCGACAAGGTGAGCCACGCAATGATAATTGAAAAAATTAGGATCTTTGGTTTCACAGGACAATGTTTAAAGCTACTAAAAAATTATCTAACAGAAAAAAACCAACCATTCGCATTGGACAAGCAGTATCCGATCCATTACCAGCACACAGTGGTGTGCCTCAGGGGTCAATTCTCGGACCTTTGATGTTTATTCTCTATATAAATGACCTACCAGATTGTGCAATGTCAGCAAGTTTTGGCTACGCAGACGATTACAAAATTGTTTGCAATGACCCATTAATTTTAAATATCGATGCGAAGAGAATTTGGAATTGGTGTGTAAAGAATTCTATGGCAGTGAATAAGTCAAAAACCAAAATTCTCAGTGTGAAAGGAAATGCAAAAGTTGAAGTAAATGGAACTGTTCTTGAAGAAACAGCAGAAATGAAAGATTTGTCTTAGAATCACTAGCACATTAAGTTGGACTGAAAATGCTACAAATAGATCTGCCAAAGCTCTGAAGGCATTATGCTCTGTGAAAAGAAACATCTCCAAAAAAACAACAAAGGCCATGAAATTAAAATCATACAAATCATATGTTGCACCTATTGTAAGTTATGGCTCATTATTATGGAAACCCTCAAAAAGAGATCTCAAAATAATTGAAAGTGTACAAAAGAAAGATACAACATGGATATTGGGTCCAACTCAAGAATACAAAGATCGATTGATTTCCCTACATATCCTTCCTCTGTCACTTTATCATGAACTCCACTGCTACTGCACATAATCCTAACTGGAAAAACTGACCTACAATGGAAAAAATTCATAAGTGTTAAGGAAAAAGGACAAACAAGATATGCGAGTAAGAAAAAATACAAAAGCAAACAATTTCGACTGCAAAAATCAGAATCTGAATTTTTCCTGAGAGCCTGCAATATTACGAACGTCTTGAATGAACACCTCAAATTCGATGTCATGGAGCACGAAAACATAAAAGAACTAATAACGAATGTTTTCTGGAGACGAGAATTGACTGCCGATGCATGAATTGTAAAAACATTAGAAAAGTAAACTTTTAAAACTTTTGATTTGACAAAAACTGAAAGCGAGCTAACTCCCTTGGATTTATTTTTCCTAAATTCTTGTTTATTATTATTATAAATAAAAAAAAGCATTCGACGAAAAAGTCTACAAAAAAATGCATAAGTTTGTCGCGGCTGTTTTAAATGCTGAGTGTCAACTTAGCCAACAATACCAATGTAGACGCCCGTTGAGCTGAAAAAAAGAACATAATTGTTGTCATAAACGCCTTACCCTTTTATACCCACTCCTCCCAAAACGTATAGAAGCACAAAAACCCGTTTTTAACGCTTTGTAAAGAATTTGTATAGATGAATGCAAGGAAACAGAAAACCTTTCAATTTTCAAAATTCCAAAAAAAAAGCCAAGAGACATTTCAAGAGTCAATGAACGCAAAAAAAAACAGGAAAAAAAACATTCGACATTCGAATGTCAACAAAGAAAAATATGACCGTATAGCTCTTTGAATTTCAAGAAAAATTTAAAACTGGAACTTTTTTGATAAAAATCAACCCAATTTGAGAAAACTGGATTACTGTGAAAATATTTTATTACTATGAAAACATTTTATCTGAAAATTAAACTGCACATTCGAAGCTAGAAATTGATCATATTTTTCCGCGCCATTTCAGCTTTCATTACTAAAGAGTTAATTTTGCCTACCCCCTAGAAAATAAACTTGAATTGATCCCAACAAATGCATATATACCTAAGGGCATTCATATGTGCATTTATAAGTATGAATGCACTTTTTTGAATTTAGAGCATGTTGACTTTTCCTGAGAAAAAACTTTTAGAAAAATCATCGCGACCTATATAAGAGTCCGAACTACGTTCATCGACTCTTAAACAGATAGCATTAAAGCTCTTTGAATTTCTAGAGCAACTCATGATTGAAACTTTTTGATAAAATTAACCCAACTTGAGAAAATAGGATCAATAGGTAAAGTTTTTGTTTCGCTAAGAAATCTGGTAATTAATTTCCATTTCGAAATTAGAAGTCAATAACATTTTTCGTTACCCTATCATTTTTGCTGTTCGATACTGGAGATTGCCTGAAAGAAGGAAATCAGGACCAGTTATTTGAGAGGTTTGAGGCCAAAAAGCATAGCTACTGAGGCGCCTTACAGATCGATGTCGTTCTATGATATTGAACGTCGCTGGCGAGTTAGACAGCTCAAGTGATGGGCTGCATGAGCTCGTACTGACGACATACGAGCTGTATTAATGCAGCACCATGTATGTTTTGATAGGCATTCCGTCGATAGTTTAACAAGGGTCGGCAAGCTGACAGCAGCGATATTCATGGTTCCAAAGCACCTGGGTGGAAGGGAAGGTGTCATTAGAGGGTAAGTTGTTCTTGCTCTACCAAATTCATTGATTTTCCAAAGGTACCCTTAGGGGTTACCCCGGTTAATTATTGTTTGGCTAGACTGCTGCTCTTTTTTGTGCCTTTTTAATCGCTCGAATATGCAGCGGTTTACACGCTCTTATTGAAAAATTGAAGTTTTACGCGATAACTTCTGCTTCTGTGATGAAGCGTATCGACTACCAAATAAAGAAAGTGGAAAAGTCTCAAAGATTTTTTGTTTCCCACACATGTCGGGAATTCCTAAAAGGAACGAACCAGAGGGGGCACAAATCTTTGAGAGCGTTTTCCCTTTCTTTAACTGGTAGCCGATACTCTTCATCACAGTTCCTGTTAGGAGTTCGACATGTTTGGGAAACCAAAATACGGAGAGGTTGGCGGAGAATTTTAGATATTTCGGAAGGACCTCCTCTTTGTTTTTAACGAACTCCAGCAACTCTAAGCATGATTATTGTTACACAGAGGTGAAGCAGATTTCTGCAACACTTGCGATGCAAAACACACATTGCGCTACAAAATCGCGAATGAAAAAAGACAAGCAAAAAAATCCTAAAAAAATTATGTTGGAAAAAAAAACTTGACAAAAGTTTAAAAGTTACAGCTACAAAAACTTCATTCATATTTGTATCGGATGAAGTTCAGAAACAGCCCTTAAAAAATGGAAAGCATTTACCAAGCAACAACAAAGGCGACACGTCGAAACTTTGGGTCGAAACTTATTGAGCCGAAAACAGTACTGTTATTATGAAAAATTTCATGAAATTTATAACTTTATACAAACTGAAACACAATCCCAAAGGGATATAAATTGCCCTCGAAATTACGCAAAATAAGTTAACTAAGTCGATATAACTTAAACTGAAACTATTTGAATCTATAAAAAAAAAACGAAAAAAAAGTGAAAAAAGTCAGAATGGTAAATTTACAATAAAAACCAAGCTTGATAAAAAAAAATGGCGTTTAAAAAAAAACAGAAAATGGCCCAAAAGAAACTAGAGCATTTTTTTTTCGAAAACATAATTACAACATGAAAGGGCTTAAGAAAAGGGCTGCGAAACTAATTACTACTTAAGTGATAGAAGTGAAGATTCTACTTAAGAAAAGAGGATCCTTTAGAAGTGATCCTGTGGACAAAAAAGTATACGGGAAAAAAGTCTAGTACCCGATTGTAAAACCCTTGCTTATCGCAAGGGTTAACAGTAGAACTGTATTGGCTTAGACGAAAAAAAATCAACAAAAAATCCGATGACAGTTATATCCGCTTTTTACGCTTGCCATTTGTAAGGTTTATCAAATTACAGAACGACTTTCAGCTCAAATAAAATGGTTTCAATCTGAAAGAAATTCCATAATTTCGAAATTTAGTCGAACAACAAGAAGCAGACAAACGATAGTTCGAAAACTTAAACTTTCTCAGAAAAAAAAATAAAATGAATATTTGACAAAAAAGTATTCGAATTCCAGGCCTTAGGTTATGTGATAATGGTCCTCATAGTTTTCTTGTTTCCAAAAAAGAGGAAGTTCATTTTTTACAGATCTGTAACAACAGCTGTGTTTAGGGAACAGTCTACCTGCTGATTACAAGTCACTTGCTCTCGGGTGAAACTTTATATGTATATGGTAATTTAAAAAATTATTGTGATCATTTGTTCAATAACATAAGGAATTTTTATGTTTTATTCCGATAAAATATTCAAAAATCACTTGTGGAAAAAACGCCCAATCCTCATTTGCGAATCTAGTACGTAACTTGAGCACCTTTTGAATAAAGATAATAGTCAAAAAACCTTCACGGTCAGACCGCCACAAAAAAGAAATTAAAATTCGACGAGTTTTTTCAGCAAATTTAAAGGTTTTTTTTAAGGCAAAAGATTTAGGATATAAAGTTTTATGATAGATCAACGAACAAGTTGTATGTTGCAAATTAAATAATAATAATAATTGTAGTTCCTGCGAATCGCAGAGGAGCTATCAGTAGGCCTTAACAGTCCTGTCGAGGATAGTCCATTTGTATTATCTCCCCACAATCCAGACAGTGTTATTTTGCTGAGCGAAGCTGTTTCTTGCGACTCAACGCCGTTTTTTTGCGTCTAGAACTTTTACGTGGTACCACTATTGCAGCCAAATTTGGTCAGGTTGTGGTAGACCTGAAGCTGGAGGTCAAGTGAGAGCTTGTCCTCACACACTATCATTGCCATGGCATGGAATCGAATACACGATCTGACGCTTTCAAAGTGAACGCCTTATCACTGAGCTAAGTGCCTCCCAAAATTAAATAGCTCGTGTAACTATAAAGGTAAACCAAATGTAACCGCTCTTCCTTAAATCTTGACTCTGAACAGCTAAAAGTTTCAGAACAGTTTTGAGCCGAAAACAAAAAAAAATTGAGCGAAAAAATGCCTACTGAAGTGCGTGGAAGCATGAAAAAACAACAACACGTGGTAAGACGCCAACTGATCCGAAGACAAAAAAAAACAAAAGAAATTGTTGTCATAAATAAAATCTTGAGCGCTGAAGAGTTTCAACTTCAACTTTTATACTAACCGACCTGATTTTACTCCACACAAGACTAATCATTTTTTATTCCTAAACCGATGCAAAATAAGTTCACTCAACTGACAAAACATAAGCTGAAATCAGTTAGGCCGAATAAAATTCCTAAGCGAAAAAAAAACGGAAAATACACCAGTTAATCAACGACACTTCAGACTATAATGAAAATTGCTGGAAACAAAAAAAAATATGTTATGGGAACTTAGCCATCAAAACATAAGCCGATAAACTTTAGTCCAACTATTCAATTTTTCCCCGAATAAAGCAATTCCAGACACTGAAAAAAATCAAGGTCCGGTCGGGACTCGAAGCCCAGACCATAGGATGAGAAGACAACGCCTTACCTCTAGAACTCGAAGTGCTGAAAACGTGCCTGGAAGTTTCTAACAATCCATAATAAAGCATCATCGATTTCAATAACAAAGCTGTAAGAAAAACTTAACGGGAATAAATTAAAAGACACTTGCTCTCGCAAGTGTAACTATACTAAATAACTCGTTAAACTAAAACAAACCCATTCATTGGAAAGTAAGCCTACAACTAGATAACATAAATTCCACTTAAAACAGCCAATCAAAGATTGGAAAAGTTTAAGAACGCAAGTAAACATAAAAAAACACTGACTTTCTAGAAAAAATCTCAACTTTCGAATTTCAAAGAAAAAAATAGATGCCCTTTAAGCTCTTTGAATTTCTAGAACAATTTATGATGGGCGCTTTTTTGATAACACGAACCCAACTACAGAAAACTGGATCAATAGGCAAAGTTTTTATTCCGCTGGAAATCTAAAAACTAAATTCCACTTTTGAAACTAGAAATCGTTCACGCTTTTTTTCGCGCCACTTCCACGTTTGTATTTGGAGAGTGCTATTTACGTCACTTCCAGCCGATGGGTTTCAATTGAATTCAAAAAATGCATATATCATTCAAAATTGTATCAATATGTATGAAGGCACATCTGTAGTTAAGACTTTTCCAGAAAAAAAAACAAAAAAAAACAGCAAGACCTATATAAAAGTCTTCAGTACGTTCATTAATCTTAAAAACTGAAAATGAACAGATCGAAATTAGGACGCAAGGTATTGAAATAAAAAAAGTGCAAGGCAAGAAATTAAAAAAAGCAATTTGGAAATAAGATTATTCGAAAAAATAATTACTGCTTAAAATGAATTATTTTATTCATGTTTTCAATTTTTGAGCATCTCAGCCGCCTGCATGTGAAAATAACTGCACGTTTTTTAAACAGATTTGTAAAAACAAATTGGTTACGTGAAAAAAGGCTAGTTCCTGGTATACTTGCTCTCGCAGTTGCAAAAAAAAAGACCACTTGGTGTTTTTTAAATTTATATCAGAAAAAATTTAGTTTAATTCTGAAGCACTTGCTTTTTTCACAATTTTGCGGCTAACCATTATTAATTAACCAGTGGATGACTCTTGCTTTGTGATTGTCAGCCATTAATTCCAAACTTTATTAGATGTCTAATATTGTTGTGAAAACAATTTTTCGAACTTTTGAACATGGGCACTATACTATGACAATATCTCGCAAAATCAATGGCCCTAAACTGAGTTTATTAAAATACAGCAAAGTTCTAGCCTGATTTTGAAGCGATCTCCTGAATTGAATATAGTCGTGACTGAATGTTGTGTTATAAGATTGTATACTTGTCCTCCTTGTAAAGACAAATGTCTGATTCGCAAGAGCCTTTTGAATTGTTCCGATGTGCGTCTCGAAGGCTTCCATTTCACCTCCATATAAGATTTGAGGGTATCGCGAGTCTTTTTGAGACGCAGTTTTCTTCTTGGCATTTCGAGGAGACAGTTGCTTTGGATTGCTTTGAGCACCCTGTGATGCATTCTGACTCTTGGCGTGAGCAGAACTCATCCATAAATCTTGAATATATATTTTCTAAACAGTCAGGTAACATACACTTATCATCTTACCCCAATCAGAAGTAGCGGCTCACCTCTATCGAAATTCCGACAGAAAAAGAGAAAAAAGAGAGAATAATGTCGACAGACGACAGAAAAAGAGAAGTGTCAAAGAAGTCAAGGAATCCACAAAAAAAACTAATTGACTTGTTGGCCTTCCGATAAAACATTTATAATAACAATAATAACAAGGATAGCCGGTTCCTATGTAAGTAGCACAGAATGTTCAGACCATAGTCTTATTGACAAATAAAATTTCGTGGCATTCGACCAAAATGACCTGAAATGCATGTCAACGAAATTTCATTGTGATCAGTTTGCGGGAAGATTGACTGTTTTGGACAATCGACAAAGTTAATCGTTCCCTTGAACGAATTCGGAGGACTCAATTTGGATGGACGGAATCATTTTTGTTCCGACTTTCAAAGAATATTAATGCTCGGAGTGGTTTTTTTTATTCGCTAAATTTTCACAGATCGAAGTAGAAATTTTCAACATAGTTTTTTTATACCTCATTGAAGATATCGACTTCCTGATTTGAAAAGTAAAAAATATTTTCACCTCAAATTATTTTTGGGAAAGTTCTGGGGGTTTGTGTAAATTTAGTGTAACATTCGCCCAAACACTACACAGTGACGGAGCATAGAAAAAGTACCTTTAGACGACTGGCCGGCGTCAGTTACCTATATTCCACTCGTTTTTCACCGTCTCGACCTAGTCAGTTGATCATCTGGTCTGTTTAGGGCTAAGTAAAAAGTTACTATTTGTGACATTCGACCAGAATGGACGAAAATGCAATTTCGAATTCGTAGCCGCTGACCTGGAGGATTAACGATTTTAGCGGATTAGCGACTTTATTTGAACGATTAGACGAATCGTGAAGGTCAGAATATTCTGGAAATTTTAATTTTTAATAATTCGATTTGTGACGTCACACTTCCGAGAAATGATGTAACAGTCGCCTACTTCGGTCTCATATGAGGCTTAAGAAAAATAGGCCCTATAACCATTGGCTCAAGAGTCAGGGACACTATCTCTTGTGTTTTTCTACCTCAAAAACATTAGCCTAATTGTTGTGATAAACTTATTAAATAGATTTGTTATGTTTGATGTTTGTGCCTGTATGTGGAGCGCCCTCTGAGGGATTTTAGAGACAGGTCTGTCAAGTGGCTTTCTGTGGGGAGGTGGGGAACTGGAACTGGCTTGAGAAGTCTGGTGGTGCGCCGCTGAACCTACTGAGCTCGGGTGAGATTGTTCCTTGTTTTTGATTTTTAACCTTTATGCTGCCTTTTAACCTTTTAAATTAATTTAGTTGTCTTTTTTTTTATTTGCTGATTTGTAAAATTCCCACTAACCGCTTATCATGGGTTAGTTCAGTCCCCTAAAGTCCAGTCAAAATCCTTTTTTTTACCTTTATGCTGCGTCAAGATGAGGAAAAACAACAAAGAGTGTACAAGCAAAGATTGCTTAAAACCTTCAGGACTGATAAATTGGATTAAATGTGATTGTTGTTCTAGTTGGTATCATATCAGTTGTGTAAATATTTCTCTTAGCGACTCTAAGAAAACCCAATGGTTTCAGTGTCCTTTATGCGTTGATGTAAAATCTGTTAATAAAGCAACAATAGGTAATGATTTAGTGCTAGACAATTATGTTAATACAGCCATCTCAAATGTCCGAGTACTCAAGAGAGTACCAAAAGACTCGCGTGTTCCCTTGGCGGAAAATCTGTCGGACAAAATAAATGACATCGTCTACAATGTAGAAGATGTTACAAAATGGCTAATTTTTTTAACGTCGTTCTTGTTTTTTTTGGAGCAACCGAAAAGAAGTGGACGCAAACAGACCGCAAGCATGAGCTCTTTGATAAATAAAAAAATTCGAGCAAATGACGTGTCACTTCCAAAACCCCATCCCCAAGTTTCAAGCCCGCCTCTGAGTGACCTCGAGCAGAGAATAAAGTTAATAAGTAGTAAGCTCGATGAAGGAAATGTAAAGGGAGGAATAAGGCTTGCTGCTTCGGATGACAAAATAGCTCCTTTTTCAACTGATAACTATCAAAAATTGTTATCTAAGCACCCGCAGCGAGCCAAATTTGCAGCTCCAAATCCAGAAAAGTTGGATAGTTTTTTTGTAACCGATTTCGACCTATACAAAGCGATAATGTCCTTTCCAAACGGATCAGCAGCAGGTCCTGATAAAATATTTCCTCAAATTTTTAAAGATCTTGTTAGTAAGTCGAATGGCAGTGCAGGACTTAATTTTCTGAAATCGCTTACTAAGCTGATAAACCTCATTGGAGATGGCAAAATACCGGAACCACTAAGACCTCGAGCAGAGAATAAAGTTAATAAGTAGTAAGCTCGATGAAGGAAATGTAAAGGGAGGAATAAGGCTTGCTGCTTCGGATGACAAAATAGCTCCTTTTTCAACTGATAACTATCAAAAATTGTTATCTAAGCACCCGCAGCGAGCCAAATTTGCAGCTCCAAATCCAGAAAAGTTGGATAGTTTTTTTGTAACCGATTTCGACCTATACAAAGCGATAATGTCCTTTCCAAACGGATCAGCAGCAGGTCCTGATAAAATATTTCCTCAAATTTTTAAAGATCTTGTTAGTAAGTCGAATGGCAGTGCAGGACTTAATTTTCTGAAATCGCTTACTAAGCTGATAAACCTCATTGGAGATGGCAAAATACCAGAACCACTAAGACCTTTCTTTTTTGGCGCAAAGCTTATCGCCCTCATAAAAATAGACGCAGGGTTGAGACCGATTGCCATAGGCAACACGCTGAGACGTATCGCGTCTAAATGCGCTGGAAGCAAGGCCCTCTCCGAGCGACAAAATTTTTTCGGAAACGTACAGGTAGGATGCGGTACCAAACGAGGAGCAGAAATAGCTGCGCACTCGTTTCGAAACCTAATTGAACGCGACGACAATCCAAAATGTACTGTTCTTTTAAAACTAGATTTTAAGAATGCCTTTAACTCTTTAAACAGAGAAACAATGCTGAATCATGTTTTTTCAAATCGCCCCGAATTATATAATTACACCCATTGCGCGTATGCTAAACCTAGTTACCTTTTTTACGGAAGCTCTGTCATAATGTCAGAAGACGGAACTCAGCAAGGTGATCCTGAAGCCCCACCCCTTTTTGCGGAAACAATTCATACACTAGTCAAACAGTTGGAGTCGAAAATTAACATCTGGTATTTAGATGATGGGAATTTAGCCGACGACTATAAGGTAGTACTCCGGGACCTTAAAAACATTCTGAAATCGGAACAAATTTACGGCCTAAGCTTAAACACTGAGAAGTGTGAACTTTGTTTTTTGGGACCGACTACTAGTACACAGTATAATTCAATTTTAACACAATTTCGAAAAATATGCCCCAAAATAAAAATAAAAACAAAAGAAGAACTCCTCATTTTAGGATCTCCAATCGGCGAACTTTGCCGAAAAGAATTACTCGACGAAAAAATTAGGGAGCTTGAAAAAATCTCGGATGTCATTGACAAACTAGACGCCCATTATGGTTTTTACCTTCTGAAAAATTGCTTTAGCATGCCAAAACTCCTATATTTTTTGCGTACGAGCCCTTGTTTTTTGCAAAATGATTTTTTGGAACGCTACGATAAATTACTAAGAAATTCGTTATGCAAGGTCACTAACGTGAAAATGGATGATAACCAGTTTTTACAAGCAGTTCTCCCGGCAGCCAAAGGTGGCTTGGGCGTTTCTTCCGCTCGTCTACTCGCTTTACCCGCTTTCTTAGCCTCAGCAGTAGGAGCGAAAGATGCCTTGAGCGAAATCTTTGGTTTGGAGCATGTGGATGGAACCTATGATGATGCGCTTAAACGGTGGTTTGACCTTGGAAAAATTGAAATGGCTCCGGAAAATGAAATCCAAAAAAATTGGACGGAGCCAATTTTTGACAGCGAAATTGCAGACTTGATGTTACGACTCCAACCAACGGACGTGAAAAGGTTCAACGCGTTCCAAGATAGATTTGGATCCCAATGGTTGAACGTCATCCCCTGCAAAAATTTAAGGTTAAAACTGTCGAACCAACAACTCAGAATTGCGATAGGACTTCGATTAGGATCAAAAATATGCGAACGGCATAAATGCGTGTGCGGAAAAGACGTTACCGAGGATGGTTGGCATGGTCTTTCTTGCCTCAAAAGTGCAGGGAGATTCTCTAGGCATTCAAACCTGAATGCCCTTATAAAGCAGAGTCTATCATCTACTCACATTCCGTCTGTTTTAGAACCACGACACCTCTACAGGACCGATCAGAAGCGACCAGACGGTTTGACGCTCGTTCCATGGGCTGATGGTAAGCAGCTCTTGTGGGATGTAACGGTAGTAGACTCCTTAGCTCCTTGTAGGATTAATGCCGGGTCTGTTTGTAACCCTGGTACGGCTGCCGCTGAAGCGGAAGAGCGAAAAATTGACAAATATAAAGATCTTGTAAATGATGGATATCTTTTTCAACCGCTAGCTTTTGAAATTCAGGGCGCGGCCGGCCCCAGCACAGAAGTTTTTTTGAGCAAGCTTTGTAAGAACCTAAGCATATGCACTGAGGAACCCAGAGCAGGCAGCTTTTTAAAACAGAGAATCTCCCTGGCAATACAGATTGCGAACGCCGCTTGCGTACTCGGAACAATAAATGACAAAATAACTTTCGACGAAATTTTTTACTTGTAACACTTGTATATTATATTATCTCGTGTCGAGTTGCGTGTTCTTATTGAAGAAGCGTAACCCGTATCGATTTTAAATGAAAAGGACTTAAACACTTGACATCTTCTTTTATCATTATCACTTCCATATCTAGAAAATTCCAAGGATTTTGACTGGAATACATGATGAAGGGACTCATGACTGTAACCTCGGTTACTATGATACTTTTTACCTTCTGATTACATCCTCAAAAACGGTCGGAGCCAA